TATAGATTATTTAGGTTAATCTTTTTATCTACCCAATGCGACTCACTGCTCAGTCTAGAAGATACCATCAGAGAGGCTTAGTTTTGCAGGTCTCAAACTGTGGATTTGTGTCTCCAGAGATAACATGCTTGTTAACAGCAAAATGTTTTTAAATAAATAATATATAGAGGTGAGAAATAACAGACCTCAATCCTATCATCCCTCTGCAAATTTGTGTACACAGAGTCAATCCCTTACCTCTCTCTAAAAGTGCAAAGTTTCAAAACGTTCAATTAATAGAAGATTGGTGGGGGCAGAATAGATCTGGACAAGGAGAAGAAGTCTGGAGATAAATGTGAGAAGTGAGGGACAGGCAGTAGAAACAAAAGTGAAACTGTTTGAGCAGCATATTCCAGACAGGAGCGGCGCCAGGGTTTTTGCCGCCCTAGGCGGCAGCGCTCCTCCCCTGAGCATTCAGCAGCGGGGGGTCCTTCCGCTTTGCGTCTTCGGGGCACTTTGGCGGCAGGTCCCAGAGCGAGTGAAGGACCCAGCGCCAAAAACCTGGAGCGGAAGGACCCCCCGCTGCCGAATTTCCGCCGAGGGTGGCAAAATGCCGCCCCCCCAAATCCTGCCCCCTAAGCGACCGCCTAGGGTCGCCTAGTGGAAGCGCCAGCCCTGATTGCAGAATGCACTTTTATGTAGAAATCCATGATTGAATTGAGTCTTCCTGACTAGTGATTTAAATCATGATTTAAATCAAATCCACCCTGCCATTTTGTAATTGTGCATAGCATTTTTTTTCCTTCCTAAGTGCAGCACCTTTCACTTGCCTTAATTGAATTTCATCGTTCAGACCCATTGTCCAATTTCTCAGGGGCATTTGGAATTGCAATCCTCTCCTCCAACAGGCCTGCAGCCCCTCCCGTTTGGTGTGGTGCATATTTTAGAAGTGTACACTCCACTTTATTAGCCAAGTCATTAATGAAAATAGTGAACAGTCCCGCCCCGGGACAGACCCCTGTGGGCTCCCACCACATCCTCCCCGTTTGGCAGCGAACCCACTAACTACCCTTTGAGTCCGGTCCTTCGCCCTGCTGTGGAGATCGCACCTAGAGCTCATTGCCCTAGTGTGCCTGTGAGCATGCCACGTGGGACCCTCGCTGAAATCAAGTGTCCCCCACCTAAACCCCCAAACTAGCAACCTTAGCTCCCAGCTCTGCACAGCTGCAAAAGGGGGCGGTCACTGTCCCAGCCCCCACTGCTGCACCTGAGCCTCCCTGGAGAGAGAGAGAGAGAGAGACACACACACACAGGCTAGCCTCCCTCCCTGGGACTGAGTCTCAGCCGGCGCAGGCGCAGCTGCCTCCCCACCCCCCTGGCAGCCCCTCCCCGTGGAGGCGGGGCGGTGCTGCTGCCTGGAGCGGGCACGCGGCGTCCCCGCGGCAGAGCGCAGGCAGCATCTGGCCGCCGCTGGGTGCTCTGCTGCGGAGCGCGCCGCTCTCGGGACGAGCCCAGCTACCAGGTGAGATGCCCAACGCGGGCGGGCTGAGCTCTGCTCTCGCAGGGCCCCTGGCCAGGCACCGAGCGCCTCGCTGGGCAAAGGCACCGCAGTGGGGAAGTGGCCTGAAGATTGAAGGGGGGGGAGGTTGCTGCAGGATCCAGCGTGTTCCCATTTGCATGGGGTGTCCCTCCCCCAGCCTACAAATCCTCCTCCAGGTGCAGGGGGTGCCTGGCTGCCTTGCGGGGGATATGGCTGGAAGTGGCGGGAGGGGGATCTTTTCCCACAAAAGAGCCAGTGTTCAAGGCGAATGAAGAGAGAAATGTGGAGTCTGGCGCCTGCCTGGCTCCAAGTGGGGAGGGGAGCAACTCCCCCTTCCCCCCCGCCTAGTGTCTATTCTTCTGTGGCTGGTTGTGGGTTCTCAGGTTGGGTTTCCATGTGTTCCCAAGTTTGCAGCGTGCCTGTCACGCCGCAGGAGCCCCGGGGAGCAGCAGAAACAACGAGGAGTCCGGTGGCACCTTAAAGACGAACAGATTTATTTGGGCATAAGCTTTCGTGGGTAAAAAACCCACTTCTTCAGATGCAGGCAGGTGTTCTGCCTCCTCTCTGAGCTCTGGCAGGCTGGCGGGTGCTGGGTTAGGGTCTTCAGTTGAACTCCCCCGTCAAAACGCAGGTCATTCCACCTTAGCCTGAGACCGTAGGCACATGCAGGGCAAGAGAACTTGGAGTAAGTGCCTTGCTGGTGTTTGCACAGGGATTTCATATGCACGCCTGGCTGCAGGAGCCTTTTCCAAATGTAAACGCAGTATCAACTACCTACAGGAGGCACCAGCCATCACCATGCCAGCCACACCCAGCTGGACTGCAGAACACAAGGAGATGATGCTTGGGCAAAAGTGGTGAGGGGCAGCAGTTCTGGGTGATGATGGGGGAGGGGTCCCAGAGCTGAGGGCCCTCTGCTGATGAGAATCCCCTGCCTCCAGAGGTCCCCAATTCAGGAACACGGCATAACTAATTAAGCACCTAACTTTAAACATGAGTATTCCCACTCAACTCAACAGTGCTCATGTGCTTCAAGTTAAAGCACCTGCTTAAGTACGTTGCTGAATCGGGGCCTTAGCCTCATGGGTCTGTCTACACAGCAGAGACACCCCTACACACCCGAGACCCTCCCCGCTCGTTGGGTTTCCGGGCTCTGACACTTACACTGCTGTTTTTACCCCTGCAGCGTGAGCCTGAGTCAGTTGATCGGGCTCCGAGATTTGCTGCCGCCAGTCGTTTTTTGCTGTGTGGGCGTCCCTGTCACTGGGGGCACCTGCACATCTGCCAATGGTGGCGCTGCACCGCGGCTAGCGACAGGGGGGCGTTTTTGGCAAAAAAGCCGAATGTAAATACCCATCCAGAGACCCCCATGTACTGCCCTGTGTTAGGGCAACAATGGGTCCTGCTGCTGCAGCCTGTTCTGACCAGGGGTCTATTCACAGCGGTGCTGAACACCCCCACCTCCAGCTGACGTCAGTGGGAGCTGCAGGTGTGGGACACCCCTGAAAGTCAGGCCCCTGTCGTTAAAAAGCCAAGAGCTGCTTGGAGTCTGCACCAACCCTGCTACTGCTGGTGAGCTGAGCCAGAGGGAAACTTTTGGCAAAAAAGCCTCGGATAGACTTCCCCTTAGACCTCTAGGAGCCAGATACGATGCCCGCTCTCTCGGGATCACAGGCACAATGCACACAGCTAACTTACCTGCCTTGCATGTGGTGAAGGGGGGTATGGGTGTGGCTTATATGTTTGGCACTCAGATTTATCACCGAGAACAGGACTGCCTCACTGGGGGGGTGCCGTAGTATTCGCTCCTCGGTGTTCTAAGCCTTGTGGTGCAAGAAAGTAAGCGGTTTGTTTGGGGATGGGGTGGGGGTGAATAATAAGCCATGAAACAGAGGTAAAAGCAGGGCAGTGAGCAGGAAAATTCCTGTTAAATTCTCTGGCTGCTTTTTCTTGCTGCATCTGTCTGGCTGGAGTAGGGAGGAGGACAGGGAAAGTGGTTGTGGACCACTCTGAAAAGAGGTACGTTTCCGGAAAGGGGCAGGGGCGTGTTTGTGTGTCGCCACATGGCTGAGCTGGTGTTTCATCCGGCAGGTGGTGGTGTTCCAGCTGCCCGATTTTTATTGCTACACGGTTGTGTAACCAATTGTGATTTCAGAGAGCCTTGCTGTATGTGCTGGTGCTTGTTAGCATAGCGATCTTCTATGTGGCTGACTTTTTGTGCTTGAGTCAGCACAAGGCGAATCCCCTCTCTAGGTAACAGATGACTCCGGCTGGAATTACGTGCACAAGTAACACCACCTGCTGCTAGGGCCTACAGCCAGAACATCCCAGGATTGGACCCTTGGTGGCAGTCATGATGGAAAGTCAAAGACAAAAGAGTTGGCAAAGAGCTAAGAACCAGGCATCTGATCTGGGAAGGTGCAGAGCTCCCTTGGCTCCTATCAACTTCTGTGGGTGGGCAGTCAGTGTAGCATGCTGGCCAGATGTGTGTCTGTCCAGCTGCGTGGCAGATCTACAGAGAAAGGCCACTGACTGCTGTTCACAGCTAATGAAGTTAGTCCTTCTGCTTAAGTTGTAGAATCTGTGCTCTGAAGCTAAAGGTCCAAGGTTTGATCCCTGTTGACAGCCCCTCCAGGGAGGCGATTACACTCCGCACCTTGCAGGACTGTTCCTTGGAAGAGGTGCAGTTGGTGTACTTTGTAGCACTCAGCTGAGCTAAAGGTGAATCTCCATTAGCCTTTAGCAGTACAGGGTCTATGACCCAAAGTTGAATAGTTATAAATATGTGCTGTAAAGGGCAGCAGTGTGTGTGCATGTGCATGCTTGCATGCACACACACCAGTATATTATGTGTTTGTTCTCTAGCTATGCACATGTTACATGCATGCTTCTTATTTGTTTGACTAGTAGGGTAATAGTTGTTTTTTGAAACATGCACTGTTTGTCCAGACTCCTTTTCTCTGCTCCTCCACTCTCTTCTGCCAGAGAGCTGCATAGACGAAGGGCACAGCAGAAGTGAAACTGAAAATACAGGGCTGGGTTATTCTTGAGGTAGCCCATCTGGATAGTGATGAAGTGAAACTTCCCACTGACCGATCAACGGTCTGCGAGGCCGCTGGGCCAGGACTGTATTGTGCTAGCAATGGCCTCCCCGCCCCATTGACTTTCCCCAGCATTTTTTCTGAGGTTCCTGTGCTAGATAAACCACTACCCTGCTGTTGCCCTTTTCCCCAAATTATTTAGTCTGTGCCTGGCTTTTACAGTAGCAAGCGCAGTCAGAGGTGCTATTATACCAGAATTGAATATGGAGTCCCTGAACTGCCCATCTATCTAAGGTTGTCATATGGCTCCCATCACTGCGGTATCTGAGTGCCTCACAATCTTTTAATGCATTCATTCTCCCAACACCCCTGTGAGGTTATGGAAGTGCTGTTATCCCCATTTTACAGAGGGGGAACTGCAGCAAAGACAGGCTAGGTGACATGCCCAAGATCACACAGGACGTTTGTAGCAGACCAGGCAATCAACCCTGATCTTCCACGTTCCTGCTGCTGGTCCTGTGGACCTGCCTGTGCATGCATGAAACGATTTAGGAGGAGACCCTTTACATCTGTGAAGGCAGGAAAATTCACACTTTCGGAGCATAAAGGTCGGCATGTTCCATGAAGGGAAGGGCACCTTGGAAAGCTTTCTGCTCAAGGCATATTACATTTCTGACTTCGCATCGTGCAAATGTAATTTCACTTCTGTCACCCGGGCGATATCCAGCCACATCGCCTAGCTAAGGGACGGCTTTGATTTTACCTCTTTGTAAAATAACAGAACACCTAGAACTGTTCTCAAAGCCGGTCCGCCGCTTGTTCAGGGAAAGCCCCTGGCGGGCCGGGCCGGTTTTTTACCTGCTGCATCCGCAGGTTCGGCCGATCGCGGCTCCCACTGGCCGCGGTTCGCCGCTCCAGGCCAATGGGGGCTGCAGGATGGGCGGCCAGCACATCCCTCGGCCCACGCTGCTTCCCGCAGCCCCCATTGGCCTGGAGCAGCGAACTGCGGCCAGTGGGAGCCGCGATCGGCCAAACCTGCGGACGCGGCAGGTAAACAAACCAGCCCGGCCTGCTAGGGGCTTTCCCTGAACAAGCGGCGGACAGGCTTTGAGAACCACTGACCTAGAAAATCAACAAAACCTCCTCACATTAAGAGCCTGATAGATTCTGAGGCTTTAGGTCGGGCCCTACGAGAATGTTCAGATTGTCCTTCCCTGACTTTTGAGTGCAACCCTAACTCTGGCCACTGGTGCATGTTAGTTACCATACAGTCTCTAGTTGCATGCTCACAGCTGGTTATTTCCAGGATTCCCTGCCTCATTCCCTGAGAACTGTCTACCCCAGGTCCTTTTCTGCAGAACTGTCACTTAGCCAGTCAGTTCCCAGCCTGTAGCAGTGCCTGGGATTCTTCCGTGCTAAGTGCAGGACTCTGCACTTGTCCTTGTTGAACCTCATCAGATTTCTTTTGGCCCAATCCTCCAATTTGTCTAGGTCACTCTGGACCCTATCCCTACCCTCTAGTGTATCTACCTCTCCCCCCAGCTTAGTGTCATCCGCAAACTTTCTGAGGGTGCAGTCCCCAGGGTCAGATCCCTTAACTCAAGCAGGGGGATAGCGGGCAGCCTCTTCCCTTCCCCCCTCAACTCTAGTGCCATCAGCCCCTCCTCACATCTTACCACTATCTCAAGAAGAAGCCTCCTCTAACTGCATCCTATAGGATATGACCCTGGGGATGGGGTCCTGAACATCCTTCTCTTGTGCTCTGGTGTCACAGGGCAGGCTCTCTCCCCAGCATCCCAAAGCCTTGTGGGAAGACCTAGGAGCACGGGAGGCGGCAGAAGGCCTGATCTACTACACAGGGATAAAAGACCTCCAACCTTGCAGGGTCCCAGAGTTCAGGCTGCAGCCCAAGCATCTACACAGCGATTTTTCAGCCCTGGA